AAAACTGTTGTTTTCAAAAGACTAAAACAGAAATCTAATGAAAACTTTAAAAAGGGTTCGAGGTTCTTATTAACATTCTAGGAAGGTTTTAAAAGCACCTAGAATGTCCACTAATGCGGTTATCCGACGATTAACTACTTGGCTAAAATAATTTAACTTATCTTGAGTTGCAAAAGTGAACTACTTTATAGTTGGGACCTATTTTAATAGAAAAATAATGAAATATTATCTAAATGAAGTATTTCATAAACTTATTTATTTATTATTTATTTATTTTTAAGTCAAATAAAAGAGGAATAATTTAGTTAAGCGATTAATTCAAAATGGATGTCTTTTGGGGATTTGAATCGTTCAACCTTTAAAATTAGCGGCAAAACACTAACAAGTAAAATGATCACAGTAAAGTAGAGAGGGAAAGAGAGTTGGGCCCAAATCTGGTTTCTGTCCGCCTGGACCAGTATTTGGACCCATTTTTCGTTTTGGGTCTTTGGCCCATTTGAGTTATCTGCACCTGTCCTAGTCTAATATATATAAGACATTTCTTTGGGCCTTAGGCCCAATTTTTCACCTGTCCTAAATACTAATAAAATAATAAACTTAAACAAGCTTAGGCCCAAAATAACAAAATACAAATTTTTTTGAATTAAGAGTAAGCCTTTGGCCCAAATTTTTTAAATTTTCTCAATCGGTTGCTCCTTTCAATTTCGGGACCTGTTCGTCGACTTTATGGGCTGATAGACTCGGATAAGAAGGAATTTGAGCCTTCACGGCTCTCCCGAAATGCAGGGAAAGAAGGTAGAAGCTCGTAGCAAATTCGGGTGAATTTCACATGCAAGAGAAGAAGGTAGAATTTAGAGTGATGACAAACACGCAAAAATAAGATAAAATAAAGTAAAGTAAATAAACTAAGATAAAAATAAAAAATAAAATAATAGACATTCAACATGCTTCCCAATAATTAGAACAAAACAAACAAGTTGGGCATATGGACAAACTGCTATTACAAACAAAATGGATCAATACAACAACAGTGATACCAAAATGACGCTGCACGGTGGCATAAAAATAATAAAAATAAATAAATAAACAACCATAAATTATCAACTTAGCAACAGGTTTGAGAAAATAAATTTACCCAACCCAAATATGTACATTTTATTCAGTAGTCAGTGGAGTAAAAAGCATATATGGTTACTATGTGCTGAAGAGAGTATTTTTTCGATAAAATATAGGACATGAACCAAACAGTTACGTAAAACTGAACATAACGAAGAGTTTTTTTTTTTTAATCGTAAAACTCCACTACAGGAAGCCTCAAACAACAAACCAAGGCAAAATCACTCAAAATGAATACGTATTAAATACAAGGATATCTTCCCGTAAATGACACATTAGAAACTTATCCAAATTGTGATATTTCACTTGACTAAAATAGCTCTTTCCAGAGGGCATGCAGTATCAACAATAAAAACAGAGTAAATGTGTGCAAAAGCAAATCGGTTCAGCGACATGTACGCGATATAATTTGAACTTAAAATCATCTTGCAACCCATGAAGCCATTTATACAGACAGAAAACACAATACGAATTTCGAATAGTCGCGAGCACAACACATAAACTCTAAATATTGACATCTTAGCCCATTCTTTCGACTTGAGATGAAAGAGTGAAACCCGTGGTGTCGAATATTAAGCAGTGAAACGCATTCGATGACATTCGAGAAACAAGCTCAAGGAAAGATATCGACAAGACAAAACTTCAAGTACAACAATAGAGAAGTAATAACGAATATCCAAAGCTTTAACTTGGTATAACAAATAACTCTATATATATGTAACATAACATATCAACTTAATAGCAACTAACAACCAACCACCAACCAAACTAAAAGCAAGCCTCAATCAACAGAATGTCACTCTGAAATGGAAGAAGAGGTGGAAAGAACGTCACAAAGAGGAAGACATTACCTTTTCTGGGCAGCGAACTTGAGACGAGGACGAGCTAAAGATGCTTCCACCACCAACCTCAAAATATTTCCGTGAGGGCTCGAACTTCCCTAAACACTGAACCCTGGGAATTATCACTTTAAAATCTATTTATATTTTTCGTCTACTGTTCTTTGTTAACTATCGCTTCTTTTTCTTTCTCTTCCTTTCTAACTCTTTTAAAATAAAATCAAAAATCCCCCCAACAATGGAGAAAGAGGGAGTATATATAGAGGGGAAAACTAGAGCTCCCGATTTGAAAGAGTCGGGTGAATTTTTTGAAATAGCTTGGGGCAAAATCGTCAATCCGGATTCAACCTCCTTCGAATTTTTTTTTTTTTTCTCAAGGGGAGGAAAAGCTGCTGCTTGTATCAAATTTCAACCGAAATCCCCCAAAATTCGGATGAAAAAATCGAGATGGGCGGCTGTTGCAGAGAAAGTTGTGGGAGTTGTTGGATATTGACGCGTGAGGGAGAAGAAAACGCACCCTGCAGCTGTCTGGTTCACGTGAGCTGCTGGACTGGCAGATTAGCGTAGAAGAAGAAGAAAATGCGCAGGGATCGGGTATATGGGTTTGCTGTGTATTGCTTCCTCTGTTTGCCCACGTTGCTGAGTTTCTTTTTCTTTTTTTTTTAGAATAGAATTGGGCCGGGTTTGGGAGGTTTAAAAGTGGGTTGGTCGGTGATATTGTTGTTGTATGCTGATGGGAAATGTTTTGGTATGCATATGTATTATTATATTGTCACAGGTTGTGGAATATAATGGGCTGGAGTGATTGGTGGGCTGAATTGATTTGAGGGAAAGGCCAAAGACTTGGTCTTGCAAATTGAGTTAGGGTGAGGGAATAAATGGCTAAAATTGCAATAAAATGGGTTAGAGAAATGAGTTAACAATCTAGCCAAATTGAATTTGTTTAGTTAATTCGGCTAGTGATTAAATAAGGCGAATTAATATAAATTAATTAATGAGCTTCTTAATTTTAACGAAATAAAATAATTGACTTAATCATAAACTAATTATTTCAAGAACGTAAATTATTATATAACTAAACTAATTAACCAAATATTTAATCAAAACAAAACCTTTTGAGATGATTTTTAAATATTTATAAAATATGCTATTTGATAATATATATATATATA